ATAAATACCTATTATGCATTAATTAAGGGTGACAGAGTCTAAGCTGACCAGTTTCTTGCCAAATAGTGAGCCAAATCTGTTCACCAATACATTTCATCTAGAGATGTTATATTAAACATTTCAGACTAAGTTACTACCTTGTAAGCACAATAAGCATTTGTAAACTTTTTTTTAGCATATAATATTGTACATTATCACTGCATTATAAATTATAAGTATCTCGGTGATAAAGTACAATATCCATCTATCCATTTTCTTCCACTTAACAGGGGTTGGGTCGTGGGGGTAGCAGCCTAAGTAGGGAGGCCCAGACTTCCCTCTCCCCAGCCACTTGGTCCAGCTCCTCCGGGGGAATCCCAAGACGTTTCCAGGCCAGCCGAGAAACATAGGCCCTCCAGCGTGTCCTGGGTCTTCCTCTGGGTCTCCTCCTCATGGGATGTGCCCGGAACACCTCGCCAGGGAGGCGTCCAGGAGGCATCCTAACCAGATGCCCGAGTCACCTCAACTGGCTCCTCTCGACGTGGAAAAGCAGCGGCTGTACTCTGAGTCCCTCCCGGATGATTGATCTTCTCACCCAATCTCTAAGGGAGAGCCCAGACACCCTGCTGAGAAAACTCATTTCGACCGCCTGTATCCGTGATCTTGTTCTTTCGGTCACAACCCAAAGCTCATGACCATAGATGAGGGTAGGAACGTAGATTGACTGGTAAATTGAGAGCTTCACCTTTTGACTCAGCTCTCTCTTCACCACGACAGACCGGTACAGCGCCCGATTCACTGCCGACGCTGCATCTATCCACCTATTGATCTCACGCTCTATTTATTCCTAATTTGTGAACAAGATCCCGAGATACTTAAACTCCTCCACTTGGGGCAGGACCTCCTCCCCGACCCGGAGAGGGCACTCTACCCTTTTCCGGCTCAAGACCAGGACCTTGGATTTGGAGGAACTGATCCTCATCCCAGCCACGTCACACTCAGCTGCAAACCGCTCCAACGAAAGCTGTAGATCACGATCTGATGAAGCCAATAGGACCACATCATCTGCAAAAAACAGAGAAGCAATCCTAAGGCCATCAAAACGGATCCCCTCAACACCTTGACTGCGCCTAGAAATTCTGTCCATAAAAGTTATGAACAGAATCTGTGACAAAGGGCAACCTTGGCTGAGTCCATCTCTCACTGGGAACGAGCCCGACTTACTGCCAGCAAGGCGGACCAGGCTCTGACACCGGTTGTACAGGGACCTAACAGCCTGTATCAAAAGGCCTGGTACCCCATACTCCCGGAGTACCCCCACGGGGCTCCTCAAGGGACATGGTCGAACGCCTTCTCCAAGTCCTCAAAGCACATGTGGACTTGTGGGCAAACTCCCACGCACCCTCCAGGACCCTGCTGAGAGTGTAGAGCTGGTCCAGTGTTCCACGACCAGGACGAAAACCGCACTGCTCCTCCTGAATTTGAGGTTCGACTATCCGAAGGACCCTTCTCTCCAGAACTCCTGAATAGACCTTACCAGGGAGGCTTAAGAGCGTGATTCCCCCTGTAGTTGGAACACACTCTATTGTAAAGTACAATATTATATCCTAAAATAATTAGGTTTACAAATGCTTATTGTACTTACAAGGAAGTAACTTATTCTGAAATGTTTAATATAACAACTCTAGATTAAATATATAGGTGAACAGATTTGGCTCAATATTTGGCAAGAAACTGATCAGTTTTGTCTCTTTCTTGCCCTTAATTAATGCAGTTATTAATGATTTATACAGTGTTGATAGAGGAATTAATAACATCTATAAACTATTCATTAATCATCTATAAGTGAAGCCTTATTGTAAAATGGTACCAAAATGTTTTATCAATAAAAGGGGAAAAATTGGAGAACAGGGCTTGAAAATGAACCTTAACCCAACTTTTGTGTTTGCTGCTCGATATATCTGACTAAAAATCCACAACGATACATCTCAACGGATGCGATGATGAATCTTTTTATAACTTGTTTTTTTTAATGAACAGTAAAAATTTAGATCTTCGCTTTTTATGTCCTGTAGGCCTCTTTTACCTGAGCTAATACAACTTATTTTACATGAGTTAAAAAAACAGAACATTTTATCTCTTTTCTTTGAGCAGAATGTAAGAATAACCTCAGCTGGACCCTCTTCATCATCTCGTGTCTCTTATACTCCATGTTGTCTTCAACTTCTGGCTGTTTCTCCTTTTATAGCATCTTTCATCTCAGGTTCCCGGCCTCGCTCCACGTCACGACTGCCGTGATTCAAGATATGATCAAGGGCCTCAGCAGCAGTATATTAGTTTGTGTGCTGCCTCTGAATGGGTTGTGAGCAAGACCTCAAAAACCATTTATCTATCAGAGCTGCAAGAAAAGTTTTCGATTACGATTGAAACGACATTGTGACTGTGAGAATGTCGATAACGGGACAGATTTCTGCGAGTGTTGCCATGGAAGCTAAAAATGGAAGTGACGCGTGTGTATCTCTGCATGTGTGTGTCCACTCAAAAACAGATGCTGATAATTGTATGTCTGTCTGCTGAAGTCAATTTTAAACTATCGCCGTCATATTAATTTCTAATCATTTGCCATTTTTGACCAGTTACACCAAGGGTGTGACAGAATTCAATAAATTAAAAAAATTTATGAAAACGACCTGAAATATGTTTCTGTACATATGATTTGTGTGAACAAAGTCGTAAACTCTCATGTAAATTGTAAATAGAATGTGTATATATGTGCATGCACCTCGTCCTATTATTTCATTATATTAATAAATTTGTAGTCTTTACTGTCATTATGATCTGAATGGTATGTTATTATAATGCCTTAGTGCACTGGCATCAATAGCAGCTGGTCTGACATGCTTATTGCTTTAGATTTTAAATTAAAAAAGTTAAATCTGGTCCTCTGGAAGGATGGGTTCAAAAACAACAAAAATTGTAAAATTTTGAACCTGTCCAGAGGAACAGACTTAACTTTTTTAGATTTTTCTGCTTAGATTATTGAACATGCATCAGAATATTAGTTTTGAAACCTCCCCTTTTTTGGGCTTCAGAATGAGGTATTTTATCATGATATCCTGCGTTAAAATCCTCCACAAGCCATACAGTTTGTTAATGCGGATTAGATGTCCGCTGCTGGAAAATGCTGATATAAATCAGAACCCTGCACGCTCATAATTGACATTAAAGTCACACTCGGCATGAGAGCATAAACATGTTCTATATTAAACGGGTTGATGGCCAAACTTATGCTAAACTATTATCTCTAAAACTATAAAACCAATTACATAATTCATTAGTGAGGAAATAGATTATTATCAGAGTGCTGTGCAGAGACATAAAAAAATCTTCCTTGAGGGAAAAAGACATTTATCTTGCAGACTGACCCACTTTTTAAATGCCAATAACATCTTTATTATAGCTCTGATCTCTCTGCAGGTGAAGCTGCTGCGCTTTTATGATGGCAAATCTGTGTGGCTGCAGCACCCACAGCAGCTAGTGTGACAAGGAGAAAGGATTTCTTAGCCTAATGTAATTTTGTCATGAATGGGACAAACTTGCACACTCAATCAGAATCTAACCTGTTGAAAGAACGGGCGTTATGTGAAGTTTATTGAAGAAACTAAACCTGAAATAGCTGATTTATTTGGGATCTGCTAAACAAATCCAACAGCAACTTTTTATTGCTGCAGCAACTGAAAACTTCAGCAGGTTGCAGTGAGCTAAAACAAAAGAAACAACCAACAATAAATCTTTAAGCAGGCGTTTGAATTTGTGCAGTCTAAAAATCCTCACAAGTTTCTTTTCGTTCAACTTTTTTCTGAAACCAGTTCTGAATGGAAGAAAACAAGAAAAGGACACCCTCTGCTGTTTCGATGAGTTTCATGCATACTGACTGAAATGATGCTGCTTTTGTCATATTTAATATATTTCTCTGGCATCGTTCCAAACAATAAAACTAGTGTTCAAAGTAGAGGTCTCCTTATTTTTTTTATTTTTTTTTTTTATTAGCTTAAGGTGAAGTGCCTTTGTAAACAAGACAATTATCAGAACACTGCACAGTAAGTTCATGTCAAAATTAGATGGTTCACATGTATTAGTTTGTATTATACCCAAAAAAACAAAACAAAAAAACAGTTCTGCTCTCTGGTATTATTTGCATTTTGATTACATTTTCCTTAAAAACACATAAAAACACACATCAGACCGAGTTTGAGTCTCACTTTTATTGGTTTATTTGTAAAATATTCACATTTAAAAGTAATAGTTGTGACACTGAGGCTCATAGCACTGACAAACACACTTTTTATTCAGTGCACATGCATCATGCTGGATTCAAAGCCCTTAAAAAACAAACAAAAAACAAAACAAAAAAAATCACAGTTCTTTGTGCCTTGCAGTTGAATGTGAAGTCTGTGTCCATCCAAATCAGTCTCAAAGAGCTGTGCATTTCCCTTCAGGCTCCAGAGAGACTAATAAACCAAACACCAAGCTATTACACCAATAAAGCACAGCACACACACATGCACACACGCACAGACCGTTATAAAAGCTGAGTGGCACAACAGTGCACATGGCGACTGGTTGCGAGGGCTTTTGCAGCCGTTAATAAAGCAGAAACCAATCTATTGGTAGAGCTGTCGATCTTCAGCGTTCTGATTCTCCGCTGGCTCGCCTTTGAGACTACTCTGACTTTTCTGTAAACTTGAACAGGATTATTTTGAACTCTTCAAATATAAAGCAGTGCAAATGTTTGTCAAAATGTAATTCTGCTGCAAAACAATCAATCAGTACTTTATTTATACACTACCACTTTGCAGTAACTATATGAACATTGTCCTCTGAGACAGTCCATCCCACCTGGTCTCCATCTCCTACCAAACGACACATTACAACACTTTAGTTTCAAACCGTACGTTGGGCGAGATGGATGTAAGACCAGGCGTTAGACTTTTCCCTCCCTGTCGCCTCCTCCTCCCCTCAACTCTGTTTCCAGTCATCTTATTTGACAAAGTGCAGGGCCTCGGCCGCCACCACCGAGCCTTTGCTGCTGTCGAGGCTGGTCACCAGCTTGAAGCCTGATTTCAGTGCTAGCATCACCGTCTCCAGTTTCAGACAGTCCAGTGTGCACAGGAACGTGCTGTCCTCCTTCAGGACGAGCCGTGAGCCGGGCTCCGACTTGATGAAGTGTCGGAACTGGATCACGTTGGACGACACCACAAACTCCTCTGGGAAGCCGTCTAGACGGCTCTTGGAGATCTGCACCAGCCGCGCTTTGACCTTGTCGATGAAGCCGGCGTCGCTGCAGTACACCTTGAGGCCCTGCGACCTCTCGTGGCTATCGGTCACCTCCAGGAATGCCGGTTCTCGCTGGGCAGCCCTTTGGCTCTCCCACTCGGCCACGGCCTCCACCAGTTCACTCAGGCGGTAGAAATCGGCCTCCCGCCGCAGGAGCCCCGCCTCCCGGAAGTCATCAGGCAGCTGAAGCTCACCGGTTCGAAGGTAGTTCAGAACGTGGCGAAAAACGGGACCGTCCCTGTCGACAAAGGGGTTGCCCATAGAATCTGTGTGCTGAACGGGCTTTTTACCATTGGCCAGTTCTTCCAGAAAGGACCCCAGGTGCTTGGAAAGGGTGGTCCGGTGGGCAGTGTACAAAAACCCCCCTACATTGAGGGTGATGGTGCCTGAAGAGGGCTTCTTGAAGCTCTTGCTGGGCTGCAGCAGGTCCGGGTTGATGTGCCTCAGTTCACTTTCCATCCTTCTGAGGTTCCATTCCATTCCCCAGTCACCCCCTCCAGCCTCGACCCAGCCTCCTCCCCGAAAGCTGGCGTCCCTTCGCTCCTCTGCAAAACTAATCAAGTCCCTTTCTGTCTTTTCGTTTGGACGTGGGTCCCGGGTGCAGCTGGGAAACGGAGGACGTGTTGTCAGCTGTTGTGGAGCGAGTCAAACGTTTTAAGATTGGGCAAATGCTGCCTGGCAGAGCTCCGGTGAAGTCGGAGCTGCAAACAGACCGGCTCCGTGTGCCGCTCCGTGTCCCTCCTCTCTCCTTTCTCTCTTTAAGAGTGGGTGTGCAAACGGCGTCACGTTCAGGGAGGGGAAATATGTGAGCAAATAACAGAAGAGTGTGGATTCTAGAAGCTCTTTTCTTTCTGTTTCTCAACCCTTTATTGTCTCTTTAGATTTTTTTAAAAACAAAATAATATGTAAAATAAATATCTCTCGCACCAGATGGAGAGGGGGCTTTTATAATTTTTGTGCTGTGAAATTGTCCGACTTGTGTGAGTCTGAACATGGAACTCCTTTTTGCAGCCAAATCCATCTGTTTACCACACATTACTCTGTGAAGTTGAATCTGTTGGAGATGGTTGCCAGTTAAATGTGACGAGGCTTGATGTGCTCGGGTGATGGCAGCCAGGAATGGGCTCCTGGAGCCTCATTGATGCAAATTAAAGCAACTGGGAATAAATTAATGAAAATATCTTGTTTTCTCTGACAGTTCACTCTGTCTTAACAACCATTTCCTGTGCACTCATTGTTTGTGTGTTTTGCCTCTGAAGGAAATGGACCAATTAGGGTCGACGCCTGTCTGGTCGTGTATGACCAGTTTTCAGTTGGTTAATATTTTGGCCTGTAACCCTCTGTTAGGGGAACTGCAGAAGACTGTCCATTTGCTGCAAACGGTTCATACTACTACTCTTCTACTGTGTGTGGATGTGTGTGTGCGTGTGTTTCAGCTGTGCAACTGCAAAAATCGCACTTTATATCAAAGACGAGGAAACGCACAAATGATCCAGCAGTGCAGTGAGAACGTTCTGGTTTCAGACGGATTGAAATACAGTATGTGACAAAAAATTTCCTGCAGATAATTCTGTCAAGTGTCAGGATTTAAAACACGGGGACAAGCTAGGAGGCTGGAGTTGAGCTCCAGGCTGAAAACATGATGATTATTTTGCTTGACACTATATAAAAGCCTCAGTCCGTTTCACTCTTTTTCGATTTGCATAATGTCTTTTAAAAAATGGGAATTTGTGTAGTATATTTTACTGGTGGATTATGTTTGATTTGCTTTAATTACTGCCTGCTGATGAAAGGTGTGTGTTTGTGTGCCCGTCTCTTCACAAAATATACCATGAACCACTGGATGAATTTTAATGAAACTTCCATCCTTCCGTTTTCATCTGCATCAACTGGGCCAGGAGGAAACCCCAGAAATCCCTTTCTTCAGCCCCTCCTGAGGGATCCCAAAGCAATAGAAAAAATAAAATAAAATCCCCCCCATTGAGTCCTGGATCTGCTCTGTGGTTTCCTCTGTGGGACATACCTGGAAAACCTCCAGATGGAGGCGCCTTGGAGGCATCCTAATCAGGGTAATTAAAAAAATGCCAGGGTAACAGGCAATTAACCCCTGCCCAGGTCAAAACTTGGTGGTTTGGTCCAGACCAGAATGTACCCCAGGAGATAAACTCTCCTAGGCCAAATTGTACCTGGGGGTGTAAAATAGCCTAGGCCAGACTATAGGTCATGGTCAAGGTTTCTTTGTCATTCACATCATATGTGATACATGTGGTGGAACAAAATTGTGTACACAGGGTCCCAGTTACATCCAACAAACGTATAAATTGTAAAAGAAAAACTACAATAAGATCTAAGATATGAACTAAGAAATAAGAAATACACCCATCTATGTACATAATCATAATGAGGGATATGATAGGCATAGGCCATTTCATACTTTTCATACCAAATGTTTAGTTTTAAGATTTACGTCAGTTAGCTTTCTCACTTAACTTAGCTAACAAAGCTGAGCCCCCAATAAAATGTTGAAATATTAAGTAATTCTTGTGTATATGACTCAATACTACTGATATCACGGGGGTGTGATCTGGCCTGAAAGATATGAGCCTAGGCCTACACAGGGTATAAGCTAGCCTAGACCCCTATATTAGTCTGAATGGGGTTATATTTTGGCTAGTTAAGGTGGAACCACCTCAGCTGACTTGGTTCTATGCAGAAGAGCAGTGACTCTACCCCGGGCTTCCCCCTGGATGACAGCGCTCCCCACTTTATATCTTGACTTTATCTCTCATCTTACAGAGGAAACTCATATCAGCAGCTTGAATTCATGAAACATTTAAGAAAATATCATTGGATGCTCATCTATAACACTTGCATCTCATGCTCAGAGCATGACGACTCGTGAAATTGCCTAAGATGGCGCATGACGTTATTTTCAAGGTTTGCCCCAAACGGCAGTCGACAGCATGTGGTGTCACTTTAGCTTTTGTGTTCACTGAACGTGTGAGTGTTTGGCCATCAGAGAGACTGTTCAACCGAAACTCAGTGTGTTCTGACAACACATTCTGTTCACTTCAGCTGCCACATGGAGGGTTAATGATTTCATTGAGTCTTTCCTGAAACACTTTCATCAATGTCTTCTAGCTGTGATCATGAGAGTCTGAGGTCTGGTTTCCTGTGCTACATGTGGCATCGTAAAATATGCATATTATCATTGTTTCTCTGGTGTCCCACCTGGATACACTTTGCACTGTGTCTGCATACTAAACCTCACTGCAAGAGTCTGACCCCAAAAACTGTCCAGTGCAGACAGTTTGTAACCCACTTTAGTTTTGGTTTTACACCAAGGAGGCATGCTCGTCAGTTTGTGTAATTCATCAGAACTATTTGTTTTTGCAGCAGAAATGAAACAGCTTGTTAAATCCCAAGCGTGTTTACTTCACCAGTAGGCGAAATGGATCAGAAAAAAAACAGTCAAAAAATCTTTAAAGAAACAGAATCAGTCAGTCTGGTACTGAGACAGGAGAACGAAAAACATGTCTTATCTGAACATTTTTGTAAACTGATGGCTGCAGATGACTTCAGCTGTTCAGCTTTCCCCCACTGAGTCCTAATCCAAATGAGACAAAACCACAGAAAGGATTTTTAAAAACACAGGCAGTGATGTAGAAGCACTTTGTCAAAACAAACACGACTTCTCTCCGTCTGGAATTACCGATTGAACTCTTGACTGCTGGTGACTAGGAGACAGTTGCTGAACAAATACTTTTTTTTTACTTCGATTAACAATAATTTCATACTTTTGACATATTTGTGTACAAGCACAACTGCAAATAAATTGACATTCCTACAAAATGCATATACAGTAGTCCCTCGCTACTTCGCGGTTCGTTTATCGCAGATTCGCTCTATCGCGGTTTTTCAAAATAAGACTGGACATGACACACAGTTGGCTGATTGATGGATGAGCCGCATGATCGGCATGGAATTTTTATTTTAAATAAATTATTTAAAATGATTTAGCACCTGCTGCACCTTTGTGCAGCCCATACTGCAGAAAAAACTTCCTGCTGCAGCTGATCAGCTGTCTTTATTGCAAAGCAGAGAAGTGGGCATGGCCAAGAGTGCTTGCAGGTGGCAAAAAGCAGACGAGGCAGGAAGCTGAAATCATGACATTATGTGCTCTTTTAAGAGCGTTTAGAGTTTAGAAACCTTTTATAAAAATATGTTATAACAACCGGCTTTAAAAACCTGCGATACAGTGAAACCGCAAGAAGTGAAACGTGATGTAGTGAAGGATGGTATTTGATATTATTATTTTGGTCAGAAATAGTGTTTATGTCTAAGGTTAATGTGAAAAAACAGGCAAAAATATAAAATCTGAGCAAATAAATCAGGATTAAGCAATAAAACTTGCAGTGTGAACATAGCCTAAATTCTTTGTTCTGTCTCAAATCAGTTGCAGTTAGATTTCAAACCCTCCCACAGTTGTCTCATATTTTTTTTCAAACTTTTTGACTTACAGAAACTAAATTGAGACGGGTTCTGTTAACTGTTTTGAGAGAATATTTGTCTTGCGAGTTTTTCCAACCATGTTAAAAATTCCAGCGCCGTGAGAGTCGAGCCCTGCGAGTCACACAAAGAAATTGAGAATCTTCACAAAAGTTTTGAGGCATTTTTGGAAAGTCCTTACAGTTTGCAAACAGTCGCAGCTCCAAGAAACAGACTTTATGTTTGAATGCACACAGAACGTAAAATGTAAAAATGTCCATGCGCCTAAAGCAGAATTTCATCTAGTTTACCTGGCAGAAGAGAGGAAAGCAGACTTTGATGGCATTCTGCAGACGTGACGATGAAAACACCATTGTCTCAAATGAAGATTAAAACACTGGTTTTCTTCTGAAAATACCACATCAGGACTTAGTGCATGCAGACCAGACTTACAGGAGCAAAAAATGTGAAAGACTAAACAGTTTCTGGTTAATTTGAAGTGATGTCAAATAATTTTAGGGGTCAAATGTTAAATATTTTCCTCACAGCACCTTCTAGCGATTTGCTAATTGCTGGTATCAAGATAATTACAGTAGGTATGTTTAAACCTTTGCTCCAAAAGCTAATTCATAAATGATTCTGTTTTTGACACATGTTGGTATTTTTCATTATTATTGTTTTAATTCACCTGTAGTTTGTTAAATGTATGAAGGGATCCTAAAAGCAGCACGTGGTGACTCGTGTTTATTGAAAACTATGAGAAACCTCATAAAAAATTTAACTTCAACACGAGCAGGAAAATCCTGGCTGCTCTGCTGCCCTGTGGAAAAATACATGAGGGACGTTTTGTGGATCTCCTTTCTTGAATTAATCTGAGAGCAACAGGTGCTGATGCAACAGGTTGCCATACACTGAGATGATCCAGCACGTAACTTTTGTTTTAGTTGCTCTGAGTTGCTGACAAGTTCCCAGAGTGACAGCTCCATGCTGTGATTTTTCTAATCGTAGGTGATTTGTTGTATCATCCTTAACGACACTCGACTGGAATTGCAATCGAGGGCAAAATGCATCA